CCCACCACCTTCATGGCACCACAACGCGGTACGACAACAACGCTCTCTTGCTCGGAACAACCCGATCGCGAACACACGCATTACGGCTACCTCTGTTATAGCAAACAATAAATTACCTATACATATTGAAGTTCTTATTTTAGTCAAGATTTCCACCAGCACAAGTGGAGCTTGATATTCAATACAGTATCATCAGCGTAGGAAAAAACTTGGACTTCTGTAGAATTTAGATCACAAATTTCATTTATGTAAATCAAAAATAAGGTAGGCCCAATTTCATTGCCTTGCAGCACGCCATATTAATGTCAGAGTATTTACTAACATAATGACCTATTTAAGCTCTTTGAAATCGAATTGATAGATAACTTTTATATAATTCTAAAGACGTGCTTCTAATACCAATTCCTCCAGTTTACTCTAGTATGGGGATGGAGAAAATGTCAAATGCTTTTTAGGTCCAAAAAGACTACAAGACACTTATTTCCACGAATCAATTCATACGTGAGGTGTGAGGTTATTGCTATCATTGCGTCTTCTGTAGACCGACGCTGTCTAAAGCCGAACTAAGAGTTTGATAATATATTGAATTTATCCAAATAATTTAATAATCTTTTGTTTATTACTTTTAATTTTTTTTAAATAGAAGATAATACCGAAATCGGTCGATAGTTAGTAACCTAGTCATTAGCACCAATTTTATAAACTGATCTAACGTTTGATTGCTTTAATGGTTCTTGAAATATACCATTATTAAAACAGAGGTTTGCAAGGCAATGACAGGAATAACAAATTTGAGAAAACTAGTTGGGATACAATGCCAACACGGTGCACTATTACTTTTTAGGTTCATGAGTGTATCAAGAAATTCTTTTAAATCTGTTTTTTACAACACAATTGATGTTAGGTTATTTTTTTTCCTATCCAGAAAATCATTATAATTGTGATTGGATGTAAACAAAATATTTTTTGCTAAATTCCTATCAATATTAACAAAAAAATCATTGGCTAAATTAACTGCATCTAGAGGGGAAGAACTCTCTTCTAAAAGTATTTTTCCAGTTTGTTCTTGTCACAAAAATCAAGGTAGTTTTAGTAAAAAAGTGATATACATTCTGTAAACTCTAGGAACAAACACAAGCTAGGGATACCAGTTTCTCGACTCCACAGTTTCAGTAATTCATTATTGGGGCAATGTATACGCTATTACAACAAGGTTCCGGAAAGTGTGTATTTTATTAAGCTGAAAAAAGGATTATTATATATTAAATGAATGCATGGCATAATAACCCTCGTGAATGAGGTGGTCGCTTATAAGCAGTTTCTAAAACATTTTTTGAATAGTTTTTACAACCATTGATTGAAAATTTACTTTAAAAAAAGTCCCGCTGAGTTACGTTACTTCCCAGGACGGAGGGTTTTTTTCGCGAACCAGTGGTAAAGTAAAAAATGATTTCTAATAAAATTACATATGTTATCCATATACAATAAAAATATTCTATTCTATTCTTAAAATTGGTAAGACTGTTAATATTGCGCCAAATATCTTTACTATTTTAACTGAGACGCATAGTTGTTTATTTTCATATGTACGTTTGAATTTTTTTATTTAATTTAATACAAAATTTTCTGTATATTTTAGAAGTAATTTTAAGGATAATATTGATAAGTGATAAGCAATGAAGAAAAGAACCCCCTTTCTTAATTGCTTTGGCATTTTATTCCGAGTTCTGATGAACCTCAAACTGCCATGTATGCTCCACGGTTTCCGTTTTTTTTTTTGGTATGCTCTTTGTAATAGTGTTTTCTTGAAGAGACTGATATTTTATTAATCAACATTTCTAATACAAAGTTTGGATTATTCAAGAATTATAATTCATTTAAATGTTCAGTTTTTTTATAGGACATTATAGTAAGTTATTACTGCCGCCCATGAACAACTGCCACACCAGGGGAAATGTGGATGCATTGCTGGCCTTTTAAATAGAAGTACGCTCTTTTATTGAAGGTCCCTAAATTGTATCGTTAAAAAAATCTGTGGTGGTAGTCGACTCCACAAGGAAGTTATGCTAGAAAGAAAACTTCTTTTAAATCGCACAGTGGTGGACCGCCAGTCATTCAGATGTTATGGATGATATCGCGAGTTTTATCGCGATGTGCGATGGTGAAATTGAGCGCCTGGAATTAGTCCGAACAATTCCTCAGAGTAATCCCTGTAATAGATCCGATAAAATAAGCAAAGAGATGCAAAATCTCTACGCAGTGCTAGTGAGTCTAGCCGATCGGAAAGAACTCGGTTGTCGACAATTTGAACCGCTCTGCACTGGACGTGGTCAAGTGGAAGAAGCTGGCACAGGGGAGCCCCTGTCCAGAGATGGGAACAGTATTCCGTGTGAGGCCAAACCTGCGCCTTGTAAAGTTGCAAATAGTGTGCTGGAATGAAATACTGTCCCGCTCTGCTGAGCACGCCAAGCTTTTTTGAGGCCAATTTCTTTTCTAAGTGAACATGAAACTGCACGTCACTCGATATGTCGACACCGAGGATTCCGATACTAGCTGAGGCGACAAGGGGAGTGCCTTGAAACTGGGGAGATACGACAAAAGGGTTCCTTTTAGTAGAGAATGCGCAAACTTGTGTCTTCTGGGGATTGAACTGGAATATATTTAGTCGCCCCCAATCCGAGACTTTGTTCAACAAAGTCTCTACTTCAGACACAGTTTGTTCTGGTACTCGGTGATGTTTTCCCGAGAAATATTGGCACGGCCGGTATATAAATATTCAGTATATAAACCATGTCTGAGTTCTGCCTCCGATAGGCACCACAGATGAGTAATAAATAATTCCATTCCCTGAAGTACCACGTCAGCGACAGAATCGGCGACAAAGTATGAATGCAAAAAAAGACCTCATCCCGTCCCAATCGGCCGACCTATAGTGCAAAACACGGCGACAAGCTGCAGATCGCATCTGCGATGGGAGCGTGAGTAGCACCGTACTCCGGATCAGACAATGGTCCGAAGAGCCAAGAGGGGCTTCGACGGAGACCTGATATCCGAATGAGAGGTCAGCAGAGGGTCCAACAGGGAAGGTACATGATCCTCCACATCTAGAAAGACGGATTCTTGGCATATGGTCTGACACAACTAGTGAAGTAACCAGTTGTGTCAGACCATATGCCAAGACAAAGTCATAAACAGACCTACTCGCATAATCGGTTAAACGGGAACCAAGGAATTCAGCGTGATGGGCGTTAAAATCACCGAGCATCACGATCTCTGTGGATGGGACCTGTTGTAGCACGGAGTCTGCAGCCGTTTGGACGTGGTCTATGAGTCTGTCTGTGTCGGCGTTACTGCTATGGGACCTATAGAGGCACCCGTAGGCCGGGTATGGTCGTCGCTCTCTACGCACAGCCATAGATGAAACAGATGTGTCTCGTAACCGCAAACTCCAGCCTGGGGCACAAAGAAATGTTCAAATTTTTACCCCGGGTGAGAGAGATACGAAGTATCAGCTGGAGAGGACACCTGTCTTGGTTAGAAAGAGCAAAGGCGACTTTGTCGTCTCCAGATGGTAGTGAACGGCGTTAAGGTGTGAATGAAGTCCCCTGATATTGCAGAAATTCACGGAAAGCGTGACAGGGGTTGCCTTTGTCTTATTGATCCGCTAGCTTTGAGCAGGTTTCGTCTTGAGCGGAATTGCCCCCCCCCCCCCCCTTGAGCCTGAGCACCCACGTTCAGAAAAAGTAGGGTAGCTTGGGCGTGGATGCGCAGCGAGGGATTATGCATTGATGCTGTTATCCTCCTGGGGTAGTCTTCCATTTATTTCCGCTACCATGTTAATGAGGGGGCGGGGAGTTGGGCCTCCGGTCACCTGCACTCACCAGGCAAAATGCAGAAGTAAGCTTCTATTTCAGGCTGGTATTCTGTAAGGTCGTGGTACCACCCCGTTTCGAGCCGGCCCATCCGTGCGACAGCAAAAGCTGTCGCGTGGCTCTACCACTGTAAGTGTAGAGTCACGCCGCAGCCTAGTGAGAGTGTAGAGATTAATGTTTATTTCTGAAATAATACTTATATTTTTTATTATTTAGATTATAAATGGATAAACTAAACTATAGATGTTCTTAAAATAAACAGACAAAAGTTTTAAATATGTAAAAAAATTAAAAAACACAGCACTGAGGCATTATTTTGTGTATGTTTAAACCTCATATTATTTTTTTTAATCTATCAAAAAGCGTGTAAGTAGATGGTAGGACTCTTTTTTTCGTAGGAGCCCGTCTGGGTAGGTACCACCTTCTTAAGCATTTCAGCCGCCAAATAGCGGTGCTTACATTACTGATTTCCCTTCTGAAGGTACTATGTATATAGTGGTAAGTATAATAATTATAGGCTGTGTGGCATTCCATCTAAGTGCCTATTGGTGACAATATTTACTTACAAGTAAGTGGATTCTGCCTGATCCGCAAAGAAAATCTTTAGATTTTTAAAACATTTAGCCAGCTTTCTCATTTTTACATGTTTTTCGAAAGTGGCAAAAATAACTTAGAATGTAACCTTTAAAATTGTTAATAAGTTCAATGACGGTAAGCTTAAATACGCAAAATTTAACAGTGACATTTAAGATTTTAACCAATTTATTAAATAAATTCCTTATATTCTGATATGTTAGTATGTGGAGGCGCCACGAGAGGATCCATAATTTTATTTTGGTGCGTCTCGTAGGAAGCGACTATCGGTTAAGCCCAAAAGTACTTGTGGCCTCTGATAACTGGCGATACATACATTTTGTATACGCCAGGCGTAAAAAAACCAGATCGGCAACGAATAGCAGCGTCAAAAGAAGTGATGCATTTGACGTGAGACTATCAATTGTGACTAATAAGGCAAATCCTCCCTACAACGGACCATCCAGTATCCACATATCCAGTGAACTTTAAAGATTAATGAAGGAAAATAAAAAAATTCTGATAAAGGTTCGATATCTATTCTATTTAATAAAATTATGTAGTTTTTTTCGTGAAAATTGGATTGAAAATAAGACAGGCAATGTTTCCTTTTTTTGAGAAGACAACTGTTTTCATCATAAATTCTCCGTAAAAAAATGACGTCCCGATGAAATTATGTAATGTTTCCGTGAAATTTAAATTGCAGTTGTAGCTTCCCTGAAAAAGAAAAATATATCTTAAATGGTTGTCGTTGTAAATAATATGGTTTATGACAAAATAATATTTATTGACAGATCAATGTGATAATATAAAAATATACAATTCTCACAAATAACTTAAAACTAACATCTTAAATTATTATGTATGCGTGGTGTAGCCACGTTGCAGTTATAACATGGTTTTAACACGAATAGGTCGGTTTGACCGCGGTTGTACCACACTCTCATAGAATACCAAAGCAAAATAACAGCTTAATGCTGTTGCGTTTTGTATGGTGTAGAAAACCGGAGACAATTTTTACCGGAAACAAAGCACTCTATCTTAGTCCTCAGGGGTGATAACACATCTGCATTTTGATTCTTAATTGAGGATAAATGTAGATGTATATAAGTCACAGCATTCATTTATCATCAGGTGGACTCTGAACTTATTTGTCACCTTAATTCTCTTAATAAAATAAACATATCGTCCTACTACTCTTTCTATAGTGGCAAAAACGCTGACTGCATTTTCTCTCTGTATGGGTGTACTTACCTTTTGATTAAGAAAAGAACCAGCCCTCTTATAACCTGTGGCGACGTTAAGTTGTAGATAGAGTTATAGATAGAGAGGGAGGATAAAGCTCCGCTAGGAATTTCACCTCATGTTGACCCCCGAATCGAAAGTGTCCACACCAAATGGCAGAAAAATGTAGTCATCTTCAAGAGATTCATAATTGCGCCACTGACTCAATTAAGCCGGCTCTGATACCGCATTGGTTCTAAACGAGGCACACTTATAATAAAGAGTTGTAAATGTAATAATAGTTTGTCTCTTTCCCAAGCGACCAAAGTCATACCATCTGGTATCATTCTATCGTCTCTAAGTATTTCACAAGGCTCTAAAACCGGGGATATATTCATAGAGACAAGAGGGTAATATCATGCAAATAACCGTGACGGGACAACTTACCAGCACATATTTCTTAAATTGGAACCCAAACTTGCTGAATCGCTATTATAAAGGCTAAGTGCCTTTAAATTTTAAACATCACCTAAATTCTACATCTATGTGCAAGCTTTCCCAATCAAATAATGTACCAAGATTACTTGATGGTAAAGTCTGTAACAAGTACCTAGATTCCTTAGTTGAAAGAGTTACAAGACGTCGACTCTTAGTGACTATAGAAATTATTCAACAAATATTTCTGTACTCTCCATACCAACGGAATATCCCACTGTTTCTTTTGGTTTATTGTTAGTGGAAAATTCTCGCTCAGACAGTGTGTTTTTCCACCTCGCCACCGTAGCAAAGCACAGGTCTGCTTTCTTATTAAAAGAAATGTTACAGAAATCACAGACACTATGCGTCATCATCATCATTCATCATTACAGCCCTTCACAAGTCCACTGCTGAACATAGGCCTCCCCCAAAGAATGCCACAAAGCACGGTCCTGAGCCACCTGCATCCATCGACTTCCTGCATGTCTTACCAGGTCGTCACTCCATCTCGTGGGGGGACGCCCTACACTTCGCCTACCGGTACGAGGCTGCCACTCGAGAACCTTTCTTACCCATCGGTTGTCGGTTCTTCGAGCTATATGGCCGGCCCACTGCCACTTCAGCTTAATAATCCGTTGGGCTATGTCGGTTACTCTGGTTCTACTGCGGAAATCCTCATTCCTAAGTTTATCACGCAGAGAAACTCCGAGCATAGCCCTCTCCATAGCTCGCTGAGCGACCTTGAGCTTCCTCATACGGCCAGCAGTGAATGACCACGTCTCAGTTCCGTAAGTCATCACTGGCAACACGCACTGGTTGTACAATTTCGTTTTAAGGTTTTGAGGTATGTCTGACGAGAAGATGTGTCGTAGCTTCCCGAACGCTGCCCAGCCGAGTTGAATCCGTCGATTGATCTCTCGGTCGAAGTTGGACTTACCTAGTCGGACTATTTGTCCCGGGTAAACATACTCGTCAACAACTTCGAGCTTAGTGCTCCCAACAACTACCGGCATAGGTGTGACATGGACATTAAACATGATCTTTGTTTTGTCCATGTTCATCTTAAGACCTATCCGTTGGGAAACACTATTGAGGTCATTGAGCATAGTGCTTAGGTTCTCCAGCGATTCTGCCATAAGGACTATATCGTCGGCAAATCGAAGGTGAGTGATGTACTCGCCATTGATGTTGATACCGTATCCTTTCCAGTCCAGAAGCTTGAAAACGTCTTCCAATGCAGCGGTGAAGAGTTTCGGGGATATGACGTCACCCTGTCTTACACCTCTCTGCAATTGGATAGGTTTCGTACTCTAATTCTGTACTCGGATAGCCATCGTAGCCCTACTGTACAAGCACTTCAACACTTCGATATACCGACAGTCAACTTGGCACCGCTGAAGGGACTGCAGCACCGCCCAAATTTCGACGGAATCAAAGGCTTTCTCATAGTCCACATACGCCAGACATAGTGGCAAATTGTACTCTTCGGACTTCTGTACAATTTGCCGAAGGATATGTATGTGGTCTATGGTGCTAAAGCCCTTTCGGAAACTGGCTTGTTCGGGAGGCTGGAAGTCGTCAAGTCTGCGCGCGAGACGATTCGTAATGACTCTCGAAAACAGCACGTAGACGCGGCTCAGAAGGGAAATCGGTCTGTAGTTCTTCAAGAGAGCGTTGTCGTCTTTCTTGAAGAACAAGAACAGAAGTGCGGTGGGCACTTCTGCTCCATGCCTCCGGTGCAATGCCACCATGGAGGACGGAATTAAAGAGCTTCTGAAGGACTTCAAGTACCGGTCTTCCACCCGCGTTCAGAAGCTCCGCTGTAATTCCATCCTCGCCTGGGGTCTTACCGTTTTTAAGGTGCTGGAGAGCCATTCTAATCTCGCTCAGACTGACATCCGGGATATCTTCGGAATAGTGTCGGATGAGACTCGCTCTTGGATCGTTAATCACACTTGCGTGTGGCTCCAACGATGATGTGTACAGCTGCCCATAGAACCTCTCAATCTCACTCAAAATCTCAGGTGTCCCGGAAACGATGCTGCCACATTCCGTCTTCAGCTTTGACAGTTGGCTCTTTCTGGCAGACAGATCTCTGGCAAAGACTTTGGAGCCTTGGTTCCGCTCGATCGCTTCTTCAATACGAGCTATATTGAAGTGGCGTAAGTCCCGCCGCATGCATTTTGAGATCTGTCTGTTCAGATGCCTGTATGCTGTCAAGTCTGTTGAAGAATGTAGCTTCATCTCCCGTCTAACAGCCATGAGATTAAGAGTGTGATCGGAGAGTTTTTGTGTTCTTCTGCGGCGGGTCTTGCAGAACTTAGCTCCGACCGCATGGACAGTTTCCACGAGCTTGTCATTCATATCGTCCACTTCATTGCAGTCTTCCAGGCACTGAAAACGGTTTTGTAACTCGAGCTGAAAGGTTTCGGGACTTTGGAACAGAGCACGAGGGGGACGGAGCATTGACTTCATTAGACGAGACCTCTCCAACTTAACGTTTAGGTTCAGTGTGCCTCTAACCATTCGGTGATCGCTACCAGTTTTCACCCTCGCGATCACGGAGACATCACTGAACAGTTGTCGTCTGGTCGTCATAATGAAGTCAATCTCATTTTTTGTGGAACCGTCGGGGCTCGACCAGGTCCACTTCCTGTGGGGCCGCTTCTGGAAGAAATAGTTCATCATTCTTTCTCCATGAAGTCGGCCAGCTGCTGGCCCCTTGGGTTCCGTTGCCCTATTCCAAATTTCCCTACTTTCAGCTCACCGTTCTCTCTTGTGCCTAGTTTTGCATTGAAGTCTCCCATTAACACCGTATATTGGGTTTTGGAAGAATGCATGGCTCTAGAGATATCCTCATACATTTCCTCCACCTCCTCATCGGGGTGTGCCGAGGTTGGTGCGTAAACCTGTATGACCTTCAGCGAATACCGTTTGGTTATTCTGAGTATAAGGTACGCAACCCTCTTCGACACACTCCCGATATTTACAACGTTGTTAACGAGAGACTTGTGGACGATAAATCCGACACCTCCTTGGGACAGATGGTCGCCCTCCCGGTGATAGAGCAAGTTGCCGGATTCGAGGATTACCGTGTCCTCCCCCTCTCTTTGGACTTCGGATAATCCTATAATATGCCAGCGCAACTTGTCTATCTCTTCTTCCAGCTCCACGATCTTCTCGTCAGTCCTCAGGGTGCGTGCGTTGTACGTTGCCAGGTCGAGTCGTCTAAGGTGGCAACCGAACCTCCACCGGAGATTCTTAGCACCCCCTGCCCCGCCGTTACTATGGTCGCCACCGTAGCCAGGAATAGCGGGGCCGCCGGGGACTGGGGGCCGTCTGTTTGTTGCTTTATTCATTGGGGGGTATTTGCCATAGTTGACACGCTTGGCGAGCGGGTTTGCAACCGCAGTTTTTTTATTGTAATTTGGCTATTATCAGGAAGATGCTGCTGCCCATCTCCTGCCTGACACTATGCGTAGAAACAAGAAAAACTAGCAACAGAGCGCTAAAAAGATTGCATAACCTAATACCTCCAAATTTTATAGGTAAAGTAACTTATTGCTATTTAAACACATATTTAAAATTAATTGTCCGATAAAATGTATCCTAGATTTTCATCACAATTGGTTTAGCCATCTTAAAGATTAGCCCGATCAGACAGACGGCCAGACAAAAATTGTAAATATGGTTATTTATGTCTCAATGGCATGCAAATACACCCCTGTGTAAAAGCCAGTAATTTCAATATTACGTACAGAAAATTCAATTATATATTCTTATTTGATTTGCGAGAATACGTTTACCGGTGGAGTGTTTTAGGGTGTTAATATTGCAATTTTCCCAACAACTTGAGAGGCCAGATGTCCAGCGGTGGATTTTTACTGGCTGATGAGAATTAATAATAATATAATATATCGTATAAATAATATATTGTACCTTGGGTATTTCAATTGGCGGACTTAATATCTTGTGGCATTCTCTATCAGTATATATATATATGTACATACCGGTGTTCAGATATACATATCTCGGAAATACAACAGAATAGCGTTAATTGTTAAAAGTAGTAAAAGTGTGAGAACAGATGTTCTGCTTGCTCTCTTGCTTACCCAATTAATCATTGTCAATATAATAAGACAGCGTAACACACTATACATTCAGTATGGAGCAATTACAGTTCGACAATTCAAAGACAGTTCGAATAATATGTCCCCGTCACAATTACGCTCTGGTGTAAGGTGAAGGACATAATTATATGATAACACCAAAGTATTCAAACCAACAGCAACGCCACTCATCTCATCGTAACACAGAGTAGCCTCTCAGCAAAACCATCCTCCTTCCCTGCACCAGAAGTACCAACACAACGGACAGAACCACGACACTCTTAGCACTCGTAGAATGATTTCGGTGGAACTTTTCACGCACGTCATCTACAGTGAACTTGATTATACTGCGCAAACGAGTGGGGGGTTTCTCGATATACCCTCAATTCACCTCACCACCATCGATATGACGCTCCGCTAGAGTGAAGCAACCTCTAGTTCATTCTCAATCCACACACAGCCAATCCTTACATACAATCGTCCTCGGTCGGGTATCTTCATGAATTCCTATAACGAACACTATTAACCACCAATTCGTCTGCTCGTCTTGAAATGAATCTGACTGTCCCTATCTTTGGACATTTTGGAACCCACACACATACGCAAGTAAATAAATTTTGACCTCATGCAAACTAACACAAGCTAAGGCGTCCATTCGACAAGTAGTCATCTTATGGCAACATGAAAAGGACAAAACTGTCACTGAATACAATGTAAAGTAAACAAACGAAAGTTAACAATGGGTGCTGGACGCGGATGTGTGCGTGCGGGCGCGTGAGTGTGCGTGTGCAAGGCGTGTGCGTGTGCGTGTGTGATTGTGTGCATATGTGTGTTTGTGGGCATGTTTATGCGTGCGTGAGCGTGCATTTTCTGTAACGTGGAGGCAGTTCACATACATCAATTTAATAAGAACAAACATCCAGACCCGGAACAATTATTAGTAGGCCATACAAATACCAGGCTTATTTGCCACCAAATAATTGTCCCGGGACACTGCGTGCCGTCAATTATGAGCACATTTTGTTTCACGTTGAGCAAATCTGTCTCCATTTGTTCCTTTATTATGGAAAGGAATTTTTATCTTGGGCAACAGCTTAAGTTTTGTTTAAGCTTAAAATTTCTTTGCGCTTTGGCCAGCGAGGTTGTTTTTTATCATTAGCTTATACTTTTCAATGGGACACATTGCATTATAATCTTAAACTTTTAAGTTATTTTTAACTGATTTTACTGGGCACGCACACATTTGTAAGGGTTGATCGGTAGGCAAAAACGATGTTTACCATAAATCACATTCAATTTGGGATAATTTAAAATGAAATTAGAAGCTTTATTTACTCGCATATTCAAAAAATACATTAACGGTATATCATTACTTATATATTTGAAGTTTAAAATTTGGCTACTCTTTGAAAAATAACCCTGTATATTATATTATTAAAACGCACTTCTGTATTCTTAAAATAGATATATAAATTATTAAGTATTATAAAATGCCGACAATCTGTTATTCAATAGAATACAACATATTACAATACGAAATAATCAATATTTTTGTGGTCCTTCAATCCAGATGTTTTAAATGCTCACATGATGATCAAGAACGTGACAAAATTGTAACATAATGGGCCCTATTATACACGATCGGCCATGATGGACAACCACAGAATGGGCCATGATTGTTACAATTACAGTGCGGCTGCCCACAAGATTGTGCATCCTACATATTTGTATTGTCATCTGTCCGATATGGACGTTGAAACAGTTGCTGCTGCCGGTATTTATTTACTTAATTATTTTAAATGTATAAGCATTATTTAAATGTACGCCTTAAAAGAATGGTGAAAAAAAAAAGTAAGCAAAAAAGGTTGATTTTAACCATACACCGAAATTAAACAAGGTAAGTTTATAGAGCATCGGCGATCATGTAGACGCGCGCACGATAATGGCCGAACTTTCTTTGATGATTGTCTGAAAAACCGACACAGAGTCGATTACGCTCGATCATAACCGATCACGGGCGATTATAGGCGATCATGCCCTCCACACGATCGTGATCGGTAGTATTCGTCCATCATGGCCGATCGTGTATAGGGCCCGTAACATGGGGTAAGATTTTGTAGGAGCTGCAGTACATAGTATATGTTTTTGCGGGACTGTCCCTGTGATTCCAGAGTGCAGGGATATACTCAATATTATTATTTGATGTGTTATAATTTGAAAAAAAAATTGTTAAAACTAATTATTAAAGAGCTCGTAACCAGGTAAGAAACATAAAACAAAATTGATATTAACCTTTCTCACCACGCAATTTTTGGCATCTACGTAAGTTTCTATAACGGCTGCAAGAGCAAAATGTTGGCAAGGTTTCACAACAATTTGATTCCATAAAAGGATTTTTCTTTTTTCCTTGATAGCAAATACAGACATTTTGAACTGGAAAATAAATAAATCTGTTTTCATCAACGCGCTTAATATGTTAAAATAATAAAAACGGTTGATTCTCTATTTACAAATTGTGAAAAGCGCAAGAATCTATTCATTACCAGTGCTGTTGGGGACATGAAAATTAACACAATAATTTGTTCCATTGGTATCTTTCAGATCAATAAGCACAAAAATTACAACAGTTATTAAAAAACGTAAAAGAAATTTAAAAATTCCACAACTAAGATGAATCTTGCGACACTCCATTATATGTTTAAATCCATCAAGCAGTTTTGGCTATAGGACGCGCCAAATAAATATACATACATACATACTTTAACTTGAAAAACATTAAAAACACAAAAAATAAAGATAGACGAACCGCTGCAAACATTTCAAGTAACGCAAGAATCATGCTCACATAGCATAAACTCAACTCTTGATACGCAATCACGCACAAATCTTTCTTCTTTCTTTCTTTATCAGCCCATAATATACGTAAAACACATATTTAACTAAAACCATTTTATATGGTTTAAGTTAAATATGTGTTTTAAGTTATATGCATATATGTACTTGAGCGCATGTTCTTACAATAAATTGAGCATGGTTTTGGCTTGGATTTTGCGCCATTTCAAATGTACGCAGCGACCCGTCTTTTCTTTGTTGGTCTGAGGGGTATCAAGGATTTTCTTTAAGGCAAAATACGAAAGATAATCAGCGTATAACTCTTATTTGATTTGCGACAATCCGTTTACCGATAGAGTGTTTTAGAGTGTTAATGTTACAACTGTATTATACTTAATTTTACTGAATAACCACCTTAAAACGTGACGATTAAACCAAATTCTCGAAACAGCTGGAGAGACCCATGTCCAGCAGTGGATTTTTACTGACGTATGGCGATTTATAAGAATCTTAATATTTTTTTATCAAAGGTCATTACATTTTTATTGTAATCACCTTGGATGTTATAATGGGTGAACGTAATATATTGTGGCATTTTCTACCAGTCGATCCTGAGAGAATAAGACATGTGTTGACAAGCGCAGACTACATCAAAAAATAATGTAAGTGTAATACATAACATATTTTACACACACACACACACACACACACACACACATCCACACACACACACACACACACACACACACACACACACACACACACACACACACACACACACACACACACACACACACACACATCCACACACACACACACACACACACACACACACACACACACACACACACACACACACACACACACACACACACACACACACACACACACACATCCACATTAACATTCATACAAAAATACATACACACTTATAAATGTATATAATGCAACAATTCCATTCAACAGGTCCATTTTATTAATTAAAATATTCTTTTGCTCTGGACGCCCAAAAGTTCTTATACAAACCTCTTCAATAACAGTTTGTTCCAGAAAAGTGATATTGATAACACCTATATAGTGGTTATTTTTTTCAACGGTAAGACTTGTAGTGAATTTAGTTACATTAGCTCTTTTTGGACCATGGCAAACGTCGTATTTCCCCCACGCAACATTATAGGGTCCCTGAAAATATATCTTATTATTTAGACAAGCAAAAAGATAATGATATCTTATATTTACGCGAATACTACACATGGAATAAACCTAATTTTAAGGATTTTATTGCGTTTAACTTAAACTCTTTTGATTACCGACGATTCGGGCAATTTACAGCACCCATGGTCATGGGGGAGACTGAGATGTTTGACGTCCTGGTATCATAGTTAAAGGAAGGTTACCTTCGAATTTTTATTTTTATTTTTAGTCCAATCTGCACAGAACGAGCTTACTGTATCTTGAAGTCTTACAGTAGTGTGTTTGGGTTTGTATATAATTTTATTAATTGTGCGATCCCAAGTAGATGGTAGCACTCAGCCACCTTGTCTATTGAAATTAGGATGTATTTTTTAAATTTCAGTAGCCTTGCAAATCATCCTTGCTATGAATCGGTGTTCTTTTGCGAGGATTTGTGCTCTATCAAATCTGATAAATGTAATAGTTGATACAATCCTGAACATATTTAGATACAGCTTACTTCTACATTCTTTCACGCGGTTTTTTATGGATATTTTTGTTTGTCCTGTGTAAGAGAGACTACATTCACAATCAAGTTTGTATACCACGTAGGGGGATATTACATTCAACGGATGGTAAGAACTCACTAATATTCTTCGAAGACTTGTCTTATGTCCTTATGGAAGCCCGCTTCAAAATGTAGCCAAACTTGTCTGTGACTACTTTGACGTATGGTAGTGCAGTAGGCACACGCTCTACTGTGGCCGGTTTCACTCGATCACTTTGACGGAGGCGCAAAATCCGAAGCTTGTTTTCATGCAAAACTTGCTTGACGTGCTGGAGCTCGACAGGTGTTTACTGTCAACGTTTGATAGATCACAAATCTTCGCAAAGAAACACCGATATCTAGCAAGGATGATTTGCGAGGCTACTTAAATAAAAAAAAATGCTCATTTCAATAGCATAGACGGCTGACTGCTGTTGTCACTTCCGTGGACGAAGTAGGAATGCCTCACATATATTGTACCCTCTTAACCGGGTAACCAACCGGAACCAGTTACTGGCATTGAAAATCAGTAGTGCTCACGGAATCCTAGGCAGAAAGGAGCCCTACTTCCTAGATTCACCATTTTTAGTAGACTATTGTATGGGTTCTATAGAAGACGTAAAATATCAAGCAGGTACACTCAATACCATCACACACATGGTATGGTGCGATCGTTTGTCATTCTAATTTTATCACACGTTTCACGTTATATGACGGTAAGCGGATTAGTAAGCTGAAGTGATAATGAGCTGGCTATTTTGCTTGAAGAACCAACAACCGATGGGAAACTCTCGAATGGCAGCCTCGTACACGTAAGCGAAGTGTAGCGCAGCCCTACACTAGATGAAGTAACGACCTAGCAAATCATGCAGGCTGCCGAAGGATGTGAGTGGCTGTCTTTTGTGACATTTCTTGGACTAGTGAAGAGCCGCAATGATGATTTATGTTAGTAGTGTGATAGTTACCTGAATTATTTGCGATTTACCTCGCGAAATTCGAAAAATAGTTAGACACAATAGGTACACTTTTTTGATTCTTATATCACAACAACTTTTCCTTATATAAAAACATATAACTTTTAAATTTTTATTGTTATTAAATCTATTGGGCCCATTTTCCCAGCCTTGCAACTGTGACGTTCTATTTTACATTAATTAATACTTTATATAAATAAATTTTGTAATAATTGTTATTAAAATGCAATAAACAGTGTTCATGAATATATAATATTGCAATAATACTTACATAATTATTAGAATCTTTCATTTCAAATTCTGTTGTAGAGTATTCGCAACATAAAAATAGAAAGAGTAAAATAATTTGTAAATAATACATTTTACATTTCATTAACCAGAATGGCGTCTCGCCAAAGTATAATAAAACCTAACAAATGATCCTACATGAATGCCAAAACGTTTAAAACGTAATTTATATTTAATACTGAAATTAAATGCGCAGAAAAAGTCAACATAAACCAAATATATTAAATCTCGATGAGCTTTTAATGACGTTCAATTATAAACAACATCAATGAAGATATATTTCGATATTGTGATATAATTATGATAAAATGCTAATAAAGTTGCTTCTATTTCGGATATAGTTATTAAGAGCAATTTTTGTAAAATATTAGCGTACGCATCATGTTACTTGGAAAATTCTATATTCTTGCTATACTTTTACCGTTATAGTTAGCTTATCAGAAGTACACTACTAAACTAGGTCTATACCTCCCCCATAGTTTGGGGAATCTTACATAGTTGCCAGGCTTGGTAAGCAGGTTGGCAACCGCAGTTTTAAATTGTTTAGTTGTTATTACGAAGGCACTGCCACCTATTTTCCCTGTTTGTTTCCCTCTGTCGCCTTAGTCGTGCAACACCGACGGGACGATATGGAGTATTTGATATTCTTACTTCTTATTTCAGCCAGGGAATTAGATAGCGTTCGTGCTAAGCGTTTGCGATACATTCCCAATATAAAAGTATTGCAAATTCAAACCAACCTATTATTTTATGGAATTTTGACATGTTCAGTAGCACATGAAATCATTGAAAATAATTCTGCAATTTTTGCTTAATGCTGTTGTGTTTCGTATGGTGATTATGGAGTACCGGAGACCTCTTTTACTAGAAGCGAGACAACGGATTTGCATTTTGATTCTTAATCGAGATATAATACGAGATGAAAGATGTAGATGTATATCGGCCACAGCAGTAACTTACCATCAGGAGGACTGTGTACTTGCTTGTAACCTTTATCCTATAAAAATATTAAGAACGACGGCGTGAGATTTCTGGAGCTTCCTTCCTAGCTAGCTTGCATTTTCACTATTAAAACCTTTTAGATTTAGAGGTGGACTATACCTAGCCGTGCAGTATATTACGTTTGCTGTAACATTATACTATTTCTAATACATAGGTATCATTCTTGTTTATTATTTAACGATTTTAAAAGATTACACAGATCATGATTTGAAATATATTTTAAAATATGTAAACTAACCAGAGCAACGTATAATGTCATGACATGTATACTGTATTCTGAAATATGATATAACTCAACGAAATAAGATTTTAGGAATCTATCCGGGTCACGTTGTAGTTGAAATAATCCAATGTCAACACCGCTTTGTAACATTTCTTAAAGGGAATATCTTTTCAACTCGACTGTATAATTTATATTTTAGTATATGAATGTAATCGAAATCTTCCATCTTAGTTAACCAAAGAGAGTAATACTTTCACGGTGGCATGCTTTAGAAATTTCAATCATGATAATTTGAAGACTAATTATTTCACTATAAAGTAACTTCGTATAAATGACCTACAGCACGACCTTTCTATTAAGGAGAAAAGCAACCGCTACTGTAGTAACGGACTTCATACATTCTCAAAGTAATTATTTTTTATACAACACTACTGAATTACAAGTGAAAATTCGTCTAGACAACATTGTTATAAGTTGGTCACGGCGAGAATTTTCACAGAAAGTTAGCCGACACAAAACAGGATTTAAATGCCTGAGTGTATGTCCAAGCACAGGTGCACTCTCTATTCCCTAACTTTCATAGTAATAATTTCCCATGCTTGGGGTTGAAATAACCGCCTACTTTCTGACTCCAGGCTGCTACTGAGAAATTCTTGAAATGTCAATGAATGATTTTGGGCCCAATCGGAATGATCAGAGCGTTGACGATCATGAAACTAACGAGACACTAAAATATCTGATGTAAAATACCCAGGCGGGTGGCGGAAGGCAGCGTAAAATATGCGAGATATTTGCTACTGCAATCACCAATGGATTTAATTACGCATAATATAATATATTAGTAGCGGCATCCAGTACCCAATATCATCATGTGTGTGTCGACAGAGGGAAATGAAAAAGAAGAGGTACAACAGATAACCACTCAATAAAAAAAAACTGCAATTGCTGAAGATAAAGAAAGATATTTCGTAATTTTAATTGCGTTCTAAAGTTTTTGTATCCAACTTTTATTAGAATTCAGTTCAGGAAAATCGTGTTACACTTGACTTGGTAAGAATAGAAAAAATTGAGAGAGCCGGGTCGACTGATCAAGTGGAAAATTGCTTCAAGATTCTTTGTTTTGTTATAAACGTAGTTATGCTGTACTTAAAATAAAGTCATAAATCATTAGATTCGAATTAGACATCTAATAAGTTAACAAAGAGCAAACGAATTGATTACATCTTTTATTTCTCTAATAATTTGTTTTATATAATATTTAAAAGAATATAAAACGCTGCTATTTTTCCGGCGTAAGATAGCAGCTTAATGCAACATAGCAGCATTTAGCTGCTATTTTACGCTAGTTTTCTGTTCTATGAGGGCGTGGTCCTACCCCGGTCGAGCCGACCCATTCGTGCTACAACCATAATATAGATGCAGCGAGGCTCTATCATGTATAAAATAGAAACTTTGTTAGGAATAGAAACTTTATTATTGTATATAGATTATAAATAATACTTATTGAAAATCATTCTTATGTCTTATATTCTTATGGTTACCACTGGTTCGGAAAATACTTTTGTCCTGGGAAGAACTCTTTGTATAAATTGAATATATACTTCCCCTATAGATTAGCTTATTGGCATTGATAAGTCCTTCATGGATTCACCATGATTGTTACGTTTAACAGGTGGCTTATTTGAGCATTTATCGCCAGGTAGTGGATTCTGCTACGCCGCCACTACATGGCATGCCGTACGACGTATAACAATATTATAGAACAGAATAGAAAATAAAAATAAAGCGGGTACCGGAATACTGGTGCAAAGCCGTTATAGTCCCAATATATAAGGGAAAGGGGTCGCAGCACGACTGTAAAAACTACCGTGGTATCAGCTTGCTTAGCATTGTAGGTAAACTGTATGCTAAGGTGTTAATTGAAAGAGTTATGGAAGAAACTGATGGAAAAATTTGGGATGTGCAAGCTGGATTTAGAAAGGGGATGGGGTGTACGGATCAAGTCTTTTCCATGCACATGATAGCGGAGAAGTTTTTGGCCAAAAAC